CAGTTAAGGACCAGGTGGAAGGAACCACACAGGTGAATGCAGCTGTATACTCATTCACCTGCAGCTGCTGCAAAATACCTGCAGAGGAAGCAAGATAGGGAAGCAGTCAAACACAATTGTTCTTGGCTGAGAAACACTATTGGGCCGAGTAGGATCACACTTTGCACGCTTGAGCATGCCAAAACAAGTCAGAGCTGCTCCTTCTGCCTCATTAGAGGTTCGCGCTCCCTCTAAGCACACCAGGGGCCTCCTCCACAGCTTGCTGGAGTCATGGGAAGGGTCGAGCAGCACGAGCAAGGGCAGGTCCCTCTCTGCGCTCCTTGTACATCTGCCTGACGCACTGAAAACCTCAGGACCTCTGTAGCGCCTGGGATCTTCAGCTCTCCTTTGCTAACAGTGACAACCAACGCAGCACGGTGTGGGCTCTTGGATGCCTAAGGCGAGCTGGAGCACGTCACCCAGATCAACCGTAGGCACCTTTTCATAGGTGGCTCCTGCAGTACAAATTAAACCCATGTCATTTTAACCAGTTGCAGAATTTCACATTCAAACTCGGTGACTTTTGGGGAAGGAGGACTACGTTGTGCATCCTTTAGGAGATTCCTTTAGGAATCCAGTTTAAGCGTGGCTCTGCTTCTACATTCATGAGGCTGAAGGCATGTCCATGCTGCAGGCCCAACCCTGACTGCGATGCTGTAGGGAGAGCCATGTAGTGGGAGCCCCATGAGACAGGAGGAGGTACCTCACCAGGAGGTCCCATGCTAGGCAGACATTATATACTCACTCACTGCCCTTGAAGTCATCTAAAATGGTTTTTCTTCTTCACTGCAGTGTTGCCCTTTCATCATTTTACACTGTGCCTCTTCCTTTGCAAGTCACACAGAAAATGCGCAGCACGCCCCACTTCACAGAGCCTATGACAGTTAGGATGCTTCCACAGCTTTACAGACACAGATGCAGGCCCACTGAAATAAAGGGTCTGCTTCCTCTCCATTAAATGGCATTTGACAGCAGCTGAGTGATCCTCCTTTTTTACAGCAGAAGCTGGATAAATTATTGCACCCTCGTTGCATCGCTACACAAGAGAAACCTTTCTGACAGCAACTTACTGCAATTTTTAAAACACCACCAAGCGAAAACCTCCTTTGCCAAAGCTTTCCTTTCAATCCCAGGTTCATTAAACACAAAGTGCTCGCTGTCACATGTGGAGAGGTTTATCTGACTGCAGAATCTGAAAACTGCCCAGTTTTCAAAAGTGATACTTGCTCATGTTGAGCGCTTGTTGATATGAGCATTCAAAATAAAACGTCAGGCTGACTCTACTCAGAACCCACCCTTTCTCTGGTACCTCCAGAAAGGAAGCAAGGAGAGGGAACTGTGTTTTTTCTTTCCTTTCAGAAAGGTGCACTTCATTAGGTTGCATACAATTGCACCCCGACCGTCCTGACATTTTTCCTTTAACATCCCTCTTCTTCAGCACTGAAATAAAATCTGCATTCCCATTTTTCCCAGCTGAAGGCGGCTCCCCCGGCGCCAAGCAAGGGGGAACTTCTGTTGCTTCTTCCTGTTCATCATTCTGCAGACGCCTGGAGAAGGCACCAGAGAGACACCCGTGGAAGCCCCACCTCCACAGTGCTAGACCCCTCTTCTTTTGAGCTCTTAGCTTTGAGGGTCTTGTCCTTTTTATGAATACAGCTTCTCTCCCTGGGATCATGACTTGGGAAAACAACCACGATTTGTCTCTAGCACCTGTAGTCAATTGCTTTCTCACGCAGCCATACAATGAAATAGGTTGTTTCCTGAAAGAGAGCTTCTATTTCAATCGGCTCTTTTTAAGCAGGCAGGGTGGAGAAAGGATGTTTTGCAGCTAAACTGCACAGTCCCTACTCGGCTACAAATTTCCGCGTCATAAAAATTAATTCATTCGGGGCTTCAGTGAAGCATATAAGGCTAAAGAGGCTAATAAATCCAGGACCCTGGTAATATTTATAGTAAGTAAATATCAAGTTAAAATAGTCAGGGGAAGGTCTGTTTCTACTATTGTGCCATGCTACCTGAATGTTAGCTATAAACAGAAATTCAGAAGAAAGAGGGTGACAGTCAGTCTAACCAGTCATAAAAAGATAGCCCTTTTGTGCTCAGAGCGGGAGCTGAATGCGTTCAGCTGCTTGGCTATGCCGGTTGGGTACAGCAGCAGCGAGAATATAAAGTTCCTGTTCTGCTTGTTTAGCTACCATGAACAAGCAAGGTTTCCTACAAGGCTTTCCAAGAAACAAAAATAAACATAAAGCCTGCAGGTAAGCGTACACAAACAGTGTGTAGTAATTGTGAAGCTACACCCCTGCAGAGCACACCATGCTAATGATGTTAAAAGGGACAAAAACTTCCTGGAGACCATTTCCACCATGGGTGCTGCTCACTGCAAGCACATAAAGCACGGTGGCCAAACATACTTGGAGCATAAAATCCACCTCATTTGCAGACTCTGTTTTCCGTGCCCTTTGGTGCTAGAACATAGTCCTATGGGTTAGAGGGGAAAAGGTCCTGTCAGTCGGCCAACAATTTCTTCTTAAGTCAAATAAAAGTAATTCAAACTTTCTTCCATAGATTTGAAAGAAAAAGCTAGAATAAGGCTTTTGCTCTAAGTCTCAGGTTTGGTGCCTGAAAATAGGGCTTCCATTATTTCTTATGTAAGACTACATAACAAGCTATATAAAACACAAATACAATTTCCTTCTTTAGAGGAGTCTGCCTTTGTCTAACAGTGAGTCAGCATCATCTGACAGATCAATTTTCTGTAAGTGTAGGACGTGGATTTTGCACACCACGCTCTCCAAGGGCACCTGTTGGAAACTTGGGTCACTACAGCATGGAATTTCACACCACCCGTAAGGTCAACTCCATGGCCTCGCAGCACAGAGACCTACATCGCAAAATCTCATCGATGAGAATGAGACCGATACCAGATACCTCAAGTTTTCTGTCCTCCAGATCTACTGTTCTAGAAAGGGAACAACATTCCTTAATACTTTCTTGGTTCTTTCTGAAACTGTTAATGTGTCTAGCATCCACAGCATCATTCAGGTCAGAAGGGACCTCTCAGGAGGTGTCTAGTCCAACCTCCTCCTCCTCCTCAATGGTGGGTCAGCTGTGAGGTCACATGAGGTTGCTCAGAGCTTTATCCAGTCAGGTCCTGGGAAACCTCCCAGGATTTCCAGCTTCTTTGGGGACCACACTCCAAAACATAACTGTCCTAATAGTGAAAAACTTTCCCTCATGACAAGTCTCAACCTCTGTTGTTTCAGTTTATGTCCGCTGTCTGTCATTCTTCTGCCACACACCACTGGTCCCCATCTTCTCCATAACCTACCCATAGGTATGGGCAGGCTCCTGTTAGGTGCCCCCAAAGCCACCTCTTCTCCCAGTCTAGCTCCCTCAGCCTCTCCTCACTGGGCTGGTGCTCCAGCCCACGCCATTGCAGCGGCCTTCTGCTGAACTTGGGGCTTATCAACATCTTTCTCATGCTGGGGGCCCAAAACTGTGGAGAGTGTTCCAGATGCAGTCTGACACATGCTGAGCAGAGGGAGGCACTCGCTTTCCTCGATCTACTGGCTGCAATCCCACTAATACAGCCCAGGATCCTCTTGGATTGGGTTTTTATTTTTAAATAAAACCCTTTTAAACCCTTTTATTGCCAGGGCCAGCTCCTGGCACACATTCAGCTTGCTGTCTGCCAACACCCCCAGGCCATTTGGGCAGAGCTGCTCCCCAGTCAGGCAGTCTCTGGCCCATATTGTTACAAACTCCCAAAATCTCTTGATCTCAATTCTGTGGGGACAGCCAGGACACCCTTCCTGCCGCACACAGCAGAAGCTCCCAGATCTCCAACGATCATCTGCAACTGTAAGCCAGGATTAACTTCATAAAGACAAAGCTAAAATATCCTTAATGCACTTTTCCCAGTATCTTTAAAAACAAGTGTACGAGTTCCTCTGAATTCTTGTATCTGAAAATGAGAGCAGCTGCTGCGAGGTGTTCCTTTCCTCCCTGCATGGTTGTTTATAGTAAGGAATACTGGGCTTTGATCGGCCACTTGTATTTACTAAATTGATTCCAACATCTCTGCCAGTGGGCTGTATGGATCCTCAGCATGAAATGCTCCTGCTCATTTGAAGTGGCCGAGATTGTTTTTCAATGGAATTTTCCATTATGCTCTGTGCTATCTTTCTTCAAAGCACAGTTTGCTCACTGGGCAGTACTCCTTGTCCAACATAATACGCAGAACCATTTTCTGTCTTGCTCAATACTTTTGTTTCCTTCCCATGATGCTTTACCTCCATTTATTCTCATCTCAACCTAAGTTTCCTTTTACAGCTCTCTCACATGTAACCGATTATGTTTGTCAGCCGCTGTTATGTAGGGTTTTTCCTCCCTCTCTTCAGTATTAAAAGTTTGGAGGCAGTCAAAACTTCTCAGGGAGGATACAATGCCTTTTTCCAAAGGCGTTTGCCTCCCCTTCCCCCCCGTTTTTTTTTACTGAAAGTTGGGGTGCTAAACGGTACAGACACAGTAATCCTGCACACCCTAATCTTCTTGCATGAGTACCCCCTAAGGAGATCACCACCATTACACATAATTTCTTAGAGATGTTTAAGCTCCAACAGCAGGGGCTGGACAAATCCGCACATCTACGGTAGAGGGGAAAGGAATCTGCGTCTCCAAGCCCCCATCTAATGCTTTATCTATTCGATAGCTGTAGCAAATCAGTGATTTTCCCCCTTCTTTGTGTCAGAGCCCAACAAAAGATACACAACCTTACCGACCGAGCTGCAGGCTGTAAGAGAGCAGGTAAAGATTTACAACAGCTAGTCCAGCCACACAGCATAGGAGAACTAGTGGGGTCGTGCATCTTACAGTACTGCTCACTCACCAAAACTTTGCATCATTACTCAAGGGGAAAAAGCAGTTTTGGCGCTCTCGCTTTATTGTGTCATTTGTTTGTATCACACGCCACGTCTCTTAAATTGGCAAAATTCACTGAATTAGACACAAGTACTGAAAAACCACACATACTTACTAGGGAGCGTATACCTCTGGTTAAGGTTTGCTTCCAAGTGTGATTAACTGTTTCATAGCGACACACAGTGTGACATAAAATGGGCTAGCACATGCAAATAAACAGCAACTAAAAAACTAAACTCCTACAATTAGGCAATACCAGGCTGCAGAAATACAGCTGTTTTCAGGTACAGAAGACAGAAAGATTTGAAGTTAAAAGAACTGTAACGTTACTGAAGCGCATACCATCTCCCACAGCAAAAGCTTCCAAGTTAACAAATTTGAGGCGATGCACACGTTCAGCTATTCGAGGGAATCTACTACGAAGCTCTAACCCCTTTTCCAGCAACATAAAGATCTCAAATTAAGACATCTCAATAAAAAAAAAACAAAACAAAAACCAAAACACCCACACAAGCAAAGCCCAAACATTTCACTCTTAAGTTTTCAAAGTCCACTAGTGTAAAAAGCAAACAAGAACAAAAAAATCCATCCCACCCCCCAACCAATTTGAGATGCACCTGATGGAGTCTTTCTAGGAAAAACCAAAACCAAAACCAGGCCCCATGGCTGACTTCAAATGAAAATCTGGCCCCTCAAGTCTCCCAGGACATGGGTGCATTTACATGGCTTAGTAAATCGCCACAGCCCAGTTATTCTTAATAAAGAACCTGTTTACAGAACTAGGGTTGTGCTGTAGCGTCTTCACCTCCCCAAACATTTTTCCTTCTGTGGAATCTGGATAGTACAAGAGCCTCACAATAGCAGAGTAATTTATTACTACAGATATGCAAATTTGACAAAATAATTTTAAATATTTAATTACATACCAGTCTGACTAAATACTTTCATTCTAGTATTTGTTACAGGTAGAAACAGCTTTGTATTTTGTCATCCTTAAAACAGGCTGCACACAAGATGCATCCTGTACCATGTTAGGCTCTTCCTTTCACCAGTGCAGTCTAGCCAGTGGCTGCACCTAATTCCATAAGGATCAGGATGCTAAAGACGTATTTGAATCGTTCTTATCTATTTGCAATAGCAACACCTGTAACTTTCAAGTCAATGGCAGCATGTCCAATATATAGAAGTAGGTAGCTTTGATCAGGAAATGAGCAGATTTATGTTGCAATAAACAGCACCCTACAATAACACAAGGCTGCTAACTCAAAAATACAGAAAAATGACTTAACAGTTCCACTCCAAGCTCATGCATCGAACCCTACATTATCTGGTGGGGTTTTTTTTCAAATATAAAGAGGTAGTTCTAGAATCATAAGACAAGTGGCAAAAACTTATTCAGCCTGTGAAGATAAAACCAAAAAAACCTCTAGTGCATGTTGGGGACAACAGGCCTCTTGCTGCTTATGACCACAGCATTCATGTGGCAGCCACCACTTATGCTGAAAAGTAGCATTACATAATAAGTTATTTTCAGTTTCCTCATTGCTAATTTCTTCCCAGTCATCCAGTGCTTCCTCATTACTGCCTGCTTTAGAGGCATCCACCAGATGCCACGAGAACACAAGAGTATCAGCAGGAGAGAAATGGCACAAGCAAGCAAGAGAAAGCACGTCAGTGGCAATAATGGAGTCAAAGACCCATTTGTGAATTACAAATGATAATAAATGCCAGTATCAGATACCTGCAGATTCATTATTTTTTTTAAGTGATATGCCAATGGCAAGAACACTTACTCTGCAAACATTAGAGTTTACTTATCCTTTTATTTGCTCTGTAAAGGGTGGTAAACCAGCCAAGTAGTAATACAGATGTTTAATTACCACTTCTGTTAATTAAAACAGATGGCCACCACTGTATTCACATCACTGTCTAGCACCATCTCCGTGGAACTCTGGCAAATTCAGGTGTGCCAGTGTTCGAGCCTTTCAAAAAAATACACCAAGAACACAGAAGTTTGAAAGTAGGAGTGAGCAAATTGCGCAAATACTCTTAATATATTTTCCTTCTGAATTCCCTTTAGGGACTAAGGCCTGTGTAACAAAGACAACAAATCAGACTGAAGTCAGGTGTATTTATGAACAGAAAAGAAAGCTCAGGAATAAATATTTTAGGTCAAGAAAACATATATCAATACACACAATTCTAGAACAGAACAACCAATTCCACAATATAATTGTTTCTCATACAAAGCCTGCAGTTTGAGCTTTGATAAAAGACATTGTAAGTGACGATCAGAGCACTTGAGAGTCCTACAGGAGCTGGGCTGGGTGTTACAGCCCCCCCTGCGTTTCCAACATGACTTGCTGCAGCTCAGCTTTGCTGGGGAGCGCTGCCCGCTGGCTGGCGCTAGGAGCCTGGAAGGGGCTGGCTATGCGTGCCGCTTCTCGTCTTCAGCTGCGACTGGGCGATATCTGCCAGGGCACTCTGGATCTTTTCCAGCAGCATATCCCCACGATAAACTACCTCTTCCAGACGGGCAGCAGCTTCATGATTTTCTTCTTCTAACCGATGCAGACTAGCAGCCTTTAAAATAAAAGGGATAAAAGTAAGGATCTTCAAATGTAATATAAAATCAACTTTAGTAAAGGACGGTGATGGAACAGTTAATGCTCCCTAGAAAAGAGAAAGATTCTCTCTCTAGCCCCTGAATTACATACTAGCAACTTCAAAGCAACACACTATAGGCTGCAGCCTAAACCAGTGCATATCCACATGGAGTAAACACCGCCCCCCCTGCTGCCCCAACAGAGATGTTAGCTTCTTTTATACTACAACTCTTGGCTTAGTACAGCTTTTCTTGATGGGAAATGAGTATTTATCCCCCTACCCACTCCCTTACTGAAAGGTGCTCAGCAAGATGAAAGCATAATTTATTAACCTTTCCAACTAAATAGCACATTTCAGATGAAACTGTATTATTTAACCTTTTCTCCTTCAATATTTTGTTTCAGAACCAAGCTGCTTTTCAGTTAGACAAAATTTAGTGAAATAAAACATTTTAACATCAAAACACTAAGTTATTAAAGTTTAAAACTACTAAAACTTGTTCTAACTCATTAACAGAAAAGACAAAACAAAAGGTTCAAATAGATACTTTTTTAAAGCCAGGTTTATATACAGGTCCTTAAGAAGTCATGCTTAAACTAGCTGGTAAATTCTGTCCCCATATTCATCTTCTGTTCTGCAACACTGATGTCTTTAGTGACAGCTAATATATGCATGAAGGACTTAATAGCCCTTGGAGGAAGGGTCATAGAAGATAGATAGCAAAAGGTAAAAGTTTGGAATTTAGAATCCAGCTCAATTACTTCAGTCTCAGTCATTAAATAGTTGACTGCAGGTAAGCTGCAGATTTGAGCAGGATATGTACGACCAACTTCACCACAAGGGAACTCAAAAGAGACGGGTAAGTTGTGTTGGGCATTAGTGTTGCAGCCCTTTTATCATTTAAGACAAGTCTCAGACTTGAAACATACCAAGACAACCTTAGGATAAAAAAAAAATTGGTCTAAGTACATCTCTATTAGCCAAGTATCTACCACTTCTCAACAAAACCTATACTGTGTATTTTGGAGTACTTCAAGCATCTTCCTAACAGTCTTTTTAAAGAATGTCAGAATATTTAATACTGCACCAAATTAAACAGCAAATAGAAATCAAAACTAGAATCAGTAAGCGACGGAATCTGAGCTAACTTACCTCAAAACCACACCAAACACAAAAGATCAGAAATTCTTGTGAAATCAGATTCTGCATTGACAGAGCAAGAAACTGTTCAAGTGTCACCTCAAAAGGAAAGCACACCCCTACTGGACAACCAGCTCCTCTTTCCAGAGCACCTGGCTTTCCCTGCATCAGCTCTCACTAAGATCAGACCCCGCTCAGTCATGGAAGAAGCCTGTAATTTGTCTGCGGCAAGAAAGCTGTCTTCAGCTATTAAATACGCAGTTACATGAAATTATGCTGGGGTTAACAGGCCCAATTAGTATGTTCAGCAATTTTTGTGACTAGCAACGTTTCCAAATTTAACCTCCTCTGTTTAGAGCCAAATGGGATGTCACTGTCAAGCCATTTGTATTTGGCCCAGCAGGCACCTCCAGTATTAGTCTTTTGTAAAATGCCTTTGAATAGTTACAGATTATCAACCCAGGTGTAAAACCTTCAGGTGATCTTAAAGCAGTTCCAGGGTTCTCAGAGAAACAGCACTCTGCATCATGTTGCATTCTAAGAAAATATTTGATGTAAATTTAGCAGTTAAGAGTCAAAAAGAAAAAAAAAAGATGATGCTGTTTAATAGGCAATATCTATAGAAATAACAGCCAAAAAACCCCAAACCCCAACATAGTGGCATTCATTGAATTGCAGGTCCAAGGTGTTTTTTGGAAGTGAGAAACAGCTGAGCATCGTGAAAGGGTTCACAAGCTGTTTGCAGCAGCTCAGGTCCTGTAAGGCAGGGGACAGAGATTGTGATTCTGGCTGCACCTGCTAATAGCTGCCCAGCCAGTAGCTGCTTTCTGTTCCCAGGCTCTTCCTAGAGCACCTCTGGTCTAAAGAGAGAAGAAGCCAGACACAAAAGCACCAAATTTGGCCGGTCCAAAGAAGGACACTATTACTGAAAAGTAAAAGAACTGTTTTGTGACAGAGCTGGAGAACCCTGCAAACCCTTAACAACCAGAAACATTGTGGAAGAACAAAAGGCTTCAAGTAAGATGTCAGTTGTGCAGCTACAAAACAAAATGCACTCTTAATGAGCAAGAGAATGCAAAAGATTATCCAAGGGGAAAAAACCAACAAAAACCCACAGTGCATCAGTACTGTAGCATCTGCTGTATTAATATTTGAACAGCTGGGGGAAAAAAAAAAAGAAAAAGGAGTAGGAGTTTCCAGTACTGTGGTGTCATGATGAAAGTGGGTTTTAACATTCTAACAGAAAACTAAGTTTAAAATATTCTCACTGTGCATAATCTTGTTTAGAACTATATGCAAGCTCAGTATTTCCACTAAGGCTATAAAGTACTCACAGGCTACACTCATGAAAAATTCAGGCTTATATTAAAATCCTTTTTCAAGATTACATGGCCTACAGAGTAAAAAATGTGTTTTAGAAGAGGAATGTTTGCCTTCAGTTATGTTTTGATATTTCAATTAAGAACACTCTTACCTGCAAAGCTGCTGTCGATTCTTCACTAGGCAGGGAATCTATTAGAACATCAATATCTTTTGCAGTTCGTGCAATCAATGCTGCAAACAGTTGGGCGTACTCTTTAAGAAAGAAAAGTCAGCCCACTCAGTACATTATTAGAAATAAGCACAATTCTGCATGCACAGCTCAGAAAATTCTACAGACTTGAAGTACACAGGTGTTAAAAATTCTCTTACTTGAAGAAAACAATGGTATCACAACTGATGGGAACTCAACAGTATTAGAAGATGAAGGTAGTTTGATTCCAACCCTATACTAAACAAGGTAACTGATTATGCAAAGGGCTGGGCTTTGTACAAAGGAGAAAACAGCTAGAACTCCGTCATGGTTAGCCAGTTAAGAAATTACTAATACCACTATTAAGTGTCCTAGTCACTGCATTAAGCATTGAGAAGTAGCTAGAAACTCATTTGACTTTTCAATCCTTGCCTTGAAATCTCCCACTAGACAAAAAAAAAAGAACACTAGAAACAATGTAAAGACAGTGATTCAAATAGATGGATTATTTAAATCCTGTTAAGCAACAGATTGTTAGTGAAAGAATTTGAGGGTTTTCTTAATTAAAAAAAAGAATTCCTATTCAGCCACAGAAAAAAGTTAAATCGCCTCTGAGAAATGGAAAAGGATTTAAGTTTATAATAGACCTTCATTTAGCTGCTTTATCATTGAAAGAACTGCATGGACTTTTAATAAGAGGCGCCATAAGCCAGAAACAAAACCTTCCCATTGAATTGTGTCCATTCAACTTGAATTAAGTTTATTACTACCGCTAAAATATTGAACCAGCCCTTTTCAATTAATAATTTAAGATTTTGCATATTTGTTTATGTTTTGGTTCATGAACAATTTGAGGAAGCAGGAGACAAAATACTTTCTAATGGCAAAAATCTATAGAAGAGATTGACATTCTCAAAGGTACACTTGACTTGAGCTAAAAAAAAATAAAAAAAACAAACAGCAAACCCCATATATCCATTTAAAGATTACTCAGGGTTTCCACAGGGTTTACCTGTAATGTGTTTTAAGGCCTTCTTATTACAATTTTAAATAAATAAACAAACATAACTGGTAGCTTTGTTTTGCCTCATCAGCATCACTAACGTGACTGCATGATCTTACTGAAGTCACTACATTTGGAATTTTAGAAAGACACAAATGAAAAGAGAAGTCAGTCATGACCTACCATTTTAAGACCTTAAAAAAGCCTCTAGCTCCTCCACCACGCTGATGCCAGCCCCTAGGACAGCAGCAAGTAAGATGAAGAAGCAAACAAGCCTTTCTGCTGGCTCTTCCAACTAATTCCAGTACCAGAGAGCAAACCACCATGGACCAATGAAGAACTACTATTCAGCTATCCTAGAAAATGCATCACTGTGCTCCAAACCAGTCTCCCCTGATATTCTAATAGACAGATCTCATACAATGTAAGATGTAAAATTTGTTGGGGGGGAGAGGGAGGAAAAAAAGAAGAAAAGAAAAAATATTCAGGATTAGAATAACATGGTTATTTAAATACTATCCTGAAATTCTCAAATCAGAGAGAACTTTTAGTTTGCTTCCTAATTTCAGTATCTCAGTTTCTTATCCCTCTCAAAAAAAAAACCAAACCCAAAACCCAGAAAAAACAAAACAGCCAACAACAAATGACAAATGCTAATGGGGAGATTCAATATGACATTATTACTTAATTAATTACATAAGCAGGTAATACATGGAGAAACACAAATAATTAAAAGCTTATGACACAGACAATTTTAAACTCACACGTGATTTCATAAAACTTAACACTAATTCTTTCTAAAAAGACTTCTTGGAAATAACTGACAACTCACAACCTCTTGCAGCAGTCCTATTAAAATGGTTTATATCTGTAGAGCTACTACATCTGTGCAAAGAAACCAGCACAAGAAATACATTATAATGTTTACAGAACACTTGAAATTACAATTCCACTATCACAGGTGTTATGCAGCAAGTGCAACTGACACCAATTTACAACTTAACTTCAGTCAGTCATCCAGTTACTGGTGGAATTGTTTGCTGAGCATGAAAAAGAGTGCAGGTTTTGTATTATAGAGTGTACCATATTAGAGCACGTTCGTATTTCATTAGGAGAAAGACAGACTTACCTTCTGTTGGATTAGCAGGCTGATCTTTGTTTATTGCCGTCTGAATGTTGCTGAAAGAGGCTGGGGGGCCGCACTGCTGCAACACTCCGATAGCATTACAGAATTGGTCTGCGAGCTGCAAGCAGCGAAGAGATAGTGAGTTCATTTCACCACTAAAGCTATTTCAATTTTGATCTCGCATCCCAGTGGGCCCCGCGCAGCAGCCCAGCCGTGCCCCAGCGCTAGGTGGGAGCGCACCCCCGCAGCC